CGCGGGGGGAGAAGGGCACAGGCCCACAGCCTAGGGGGCCCGGGCTCCGCCACCGCCCCTCGGCCACCCGGGCGCCCCACCCACGGAGCTGCCATCGTCCCCGCCCCTGGTGCGTCCCGGGCCCGCGCTGTCCAACCGCAAGATGCAATTGGAAATGTTCCAGCGGCCCACTGAAGTGTAAGGGGGAGCAGGTGAAACCCACGCTGCGCTGCTGACCCGTCGCGAGATAACGCGTGTCTGCACTTAGGTTAATTTAAAGAATTTTAAACACCTTGCTGACCAAAGTAGCCGGCCTCGGGGCGAGTTCTGGTTAGAAATAGCCGGATAATATACTTAATTAAATACAACACATCCAAAATACTATTTCAAGGTGTGATCAGTATTTTTAAAGTATTCTTTGTTTCTGTCTTCGAATGCAGTGCAGACACAGCGCATCTCACTGCACTTGCCAGGCCCAGTGCTCAATGGCCACACTGGCTGACGGCTACCAAACTGGGCAGCACTGGTCTGGGGGCTCCACAGCCCCAGCCAGCCCCGTCTTTCTGGCTTATCCCTCCGTGGGGACGGTGGAGTGGAAGTCATTCTGCTCCCTTTAGGGCTGTCATAACTAAAATAACCACCTTCACTAAGGAGATGCCTGCCATCAATTAGCTCCTTATGTTTTTTACCTTAAGACAACCTTTGTCTTTCCTTAATATGAAAAACACTAGGAAGTTGATCACAAATTGCCCCAAATTAGCACCTTCAGTCAATTTTTACCAAGTGTGTGATAAATGAGGTGGTTATTAACCTCTCACTTTCAAAATAGCAATTTAAAAAAATCGGTTTCGGTGTTGTCTCACTGGCCAAATTCCACACACAAAGAAAAACAATTCTTTCAAGTCACTCTCAAGTGGATAATATTTTCAGCTGTTACCAAAACCCTTTGGTTTGCCTTTCTTTACTTAGAGGTCTGGGAAGCCTTGGTTATTTGAGGGACCCTGCCCTGTGCACTGATGGGTATTGGGGATCCAAATCTGAGAAGTCAGTGGCTCCCGGGACAGACCCAGGCCAAAAGGCAGGGCACACTGCACTGCTCTTGCGGCTGAATGTTATTTTCTTAAATTGGTTACTTTTGAAAAACATGTCCTGTTAATCTCCGAGGTTAGATTTCTCCCAGGTCCTTTACAGCCTTGTAAAGATGGTCAGAGAGCACAGAGTAAGAGCTTCCCAAAGCAGCAGGAGGGGGAACAGGGCCCTGCCTGCCTCCAAAGAGAGAGAGGTGAGGGGAAGGGAGACCTGGGGAGCTCTCCTCTTTAAGCAGGTGATTCTCTTCTGGGCACGTAGCATTGACCAGGCATTTAGTGGCATCTGCAGGACATCTGCACCGCCTTGGTCTGCATTTTGAGCAGTAGTTGGGTCAGGGTGAAGTAGAAAAACACCTCCTGCAGCCAGTCCTCAACCCCACCTTCTTCCCTGTCTGGGGTTGGCCCAGTGAGCAAACAGGAGTCTGCTGGGCCTGGGGCACTCACTGGTGGCACCTCCGCAGAGGACCTCTGCTTGCCGGCCACCAGGAGGAACTGGCCGAGGGGCCATTCCTGTCTCTCTGTTGTGAAACTAGTGTGTGTGTGTGTGTAGGTCAGGCACCTACTCCTGGGGTAGGCATATCCCATGGCTTATGATCCCATTTACAGATGAAGAAACTGAGTCCTGGAGGGGTGGTGGCGGTGAGTGACATTTCTGTCCCTGAGCCCGTGAATTTTCACCGTTTCCTGCACTTTGAAAAATGGCATGGGAAGAAAACCAACAGTCTCCTGTATTCATTTTTGGGTGAAGTGGAGTGGCCTTGTAAAATACATACAGCTGACCCATTCTCAGTACATGGAAGCTGCTTTTGAAAATCACACTGTCTCCCACTGAGGGAGCAAAGGAGGCCTGGGTTTCATGGAGGTGGCTGAACAGCCAGTTTCCTCTGCCCTTTACGCTGTGCTTGTGCCCAGTCACCCAGCTGTAACCACTCTCGTGAGGAAATGCTCACACGGAGGGCAGCAAAGCGCAGCAATCCCCACTTAGAAGCAGAAAGAGGAGAAGTCTGCCCAAACTGTGAGGGTCCTTTCCCAGGTGCCACCCACCGCCACCACCGCTGTTGACAGCCCCGCTCCTGCCCCTCGTGCCAACAGGACCCACCTTCGTAGTTTGGCACGAGGCTGTGCCGAGCAGTGTTCACCGGTGGCTCAGAAAGGCTTTTAGCTGGCGACGGGCTGCTAGGCACTAGGGGGTTGGCGTAATGCCACTGGCACTCGCTGCTGGTTGGCAGTGTGCTCAGGAAAAAGCGTGCCACCTCACACGGGGGTCCTTGAGGCTGCCCGAATTTGGCCGGCAGCATTGGCTTTTTGCTGCTGAAGACGTGCGAGTCTAGAGGGAAGTGTCCGTAATGGTAGGAGAAGGGCAAGCTGTAGGACGGGGCGTACAGCAGCTCGCCGCCCTCTGAATGGAGCTGCTGTTCTGGGGGGGCCGCAGCGTCCGCCGGGGGGCTGGCTCTCCAGTTGCCGAGCTGGCCGCACTCCAGTTTGTCCATCGGGAATGAGCTGTACTGCTGCGTGGCACAGAAGACGGTGAGGGGGACCTGCCTTCTGGCTTCAGGGGCCCGACCCCATCCCAGGGCTGGACCCACCCTGTCAGGTCCCACTGGGGACAGGTGCACAGCAAACAGTACCCCAGTGGCCCACCCCCTGGGCACAAACAGATCTCCCCACCCCAAGCTGGCAACACACCACACATGTGGGCACATGCTACTTCTAAGAGCTTGCAAACTACGTAAAAAAACAGAGGACGTTTCAATCTTTTAAAAAAATGCCATGGGGTCCGGCCGGGCGTGGCTCAGCGGTTGAGCATCGACCTAGGATCCAGGAGATCGAGGTTCGATTCCCTGTCAGGGCACATGCCCGCGTTGCAGGCTCAATCCCTAGCAGGGGGCGTTTCTGTCTCTCTCTCCCCCTCTCCCTTCCTCTCTCTGAGATAAATAAAAACATATTTAAAAAGAAAAGCCATGGGAACAAACAATGCACTGGTGCTCGGACCCGTATGCCTGCCCAGTGGGACTGGATGGGGCCATGATGTCAGGCCTGCACCTCAGGCTGTGTCCCTACTGTGCGGGACTTTTCTGGGCAGGGAGACCCTGTTAGGCAATCAGAGTTGGTCATTCCTTAAAATGCCCATATGTCCCCAGCCCCTGGGACAGATGTCAGCACAGCCCACCCCTGCAGGACGCGTGAGTTACCTGTGGGGGGTAAGGGTTTGTTCTCAGCTTTGTCTTCATCTTCGTGTTTTTGGGTTTAGCTAATTTCCTAGTTTCTTGTGAGGTAGACAAGGCGGTCCTCCAGGAGTCCTGGGACTTGGACGTGGACACCTGGTCCAGGGACAGCTGCAGTTCCTTGTATTCAATGTCCCTGAGAGGCGAGAGGGACAGGTCGTGTCCAGCAGGCTCCCTGGCACCGCCCCCAAGCCAGATCACCCTCAAAGCTCCAGCGAGTCGTTTCAGTGAGGTCGGAGGTGGGTGGGATTTGAGAAAACGGTAAGTCACCTCATTATAAAAGCCACCCTGCAGCCCCAGGCTTGGAGCCCCCAGAAATGCTGAGCGAGGACAGTGTTATTTGGCAGAAATAGAGGGGGTGGGTGCGGCTCTCTCCAATCCCACAGGGCCCTGGAAACAGTTCCCAGGAACCCCGTGGCCCACTAGGAAGGTGTCAGGGCCTCAGGGCCACAGGAAGGGCAGAAACACTATTTCAGGGCATCAGGGCCCCCGCTGCTTTGCACCGAAGGGGACCTGAGTGGGGGAACCTTGAGGGTCCAGGAGCCCATTTTTGCCCTAAAGAGCCACCTCACTGCCGTCACGTACATGGGAGGGGAGGCCACCCAAAGTACTGACCATGTCACATCTGTTTGCTCATAAAGTGTTTAGGGGCTAAAATGCTTTCTTCCCTGCAGTTCTGCTAAAATCACTCTACTTCTAATAAAAAAACAAACCAAAACAAAAGGTACAGCGACCCCTGCTCCTGTGAAAGATTGTGGAGCTGGGATGCTCACTGCCTTAGAGCACACGTGAGCCCCCCCCCCCCC